AAATATTTCCTTTCAGCCCCTACATATGAGTTCAACATATAATTATTTACACGTTTAATAAATAAAGATATGGCTCATCCAACAACAGTGAAGTCAATAGGAATGTTTTCCTTTAACATCAGTGGAAATGGGACTAGCTCCTAAATTACTGATATATTTATTGGGGGGGGGGTATACGTTTTGCTATAAACCTGTAACAGACAGTAACAGAAAGGATACTCACTCATTGGGGGTGTCCCACAGCAAGCCTAAACTTGGGTGAGCCTGGACGATTTTTATCCCCCTGAAGACACAGAATGAAAGTGTTGAGCCCCAGCTCAAGTCTGGGATCGTGCCCGGTATGCAAAGGCCAATAAAGATACCAGGGGTGAAAGTATAAAGAAGGTTTATTGCTAGCAATAAAAGGTGCGAGCGGAATAATTTCATGTAACAAGCACACTAGATTACTATTTCTAAGCATCTTTTATACAGGAGTTTTTGAACCTTCATAAGCATCCTTGTTTGCTGATTGGTTATAAAGGAGTGACACAAGGAGTTCTTTACTGAGCATGTCTCTATACCTGTGTTTTAGCCATGTATCTCATTTACATACATGTATGTTTCATTAGCATACTTTTTCCCCACCTAGGGGCATGATTTTTAGTATTTTAATGAGCTCTTTAACCCAGTACCCTGGCTTCTGCTTTTGTTTTCAAGCCCCCTTTATCTGGGACTGTCTCCTCCTTATCATCGCAGATGGGCATTCGTCTCATAACATTCTCTTTTGCTTCGTCTCTGAGTAGTGGTTTCTAGGTCACTCCTTACATTCCCCCCTCTGGAGCATTTTTAATTATTATTATTATGATTGCTCCATTCAATTCGGCTTAACACAAATCTAGTATCATCAGCTTTCTTTGTTTGTAAAATAATTTGATTTACCTTAGGCCTGAAGATAGATATAAAAACAGGTAAACATTGGATACAGCAACAAACCATAATCCCTATAACACAAAACAAGACAACCATACTAGCATACTTTCTCCCCACCTAGGGGTGTGAATCTTAATATTTAAATCAGCTCTTTGCCCTACTCCACTAATTCTGTTTTTGTTTTCAAGTCTCCTTTATCTAAGACTGTCTTCTCCTTATCATTGCAATTGAGCATTAGTTACAGAACAGAGACTTTTGCTTGGGCTATGTGTAGTGGTTTCTAGGTCAAACCTAACATTTTCCCCCTCTGGAGCATTTTTAATTATTTTTATTATAATTGCTCCACTCAATTTGTTTCAACACAAACCTAGTATTCTCAGCTTTCTTCGTTTGTAAAATCATTTGATTCACCTTAGGTCTGAAGATAGATAAGACGACAGGTGAACATTGTATACATAGGATATTTGATTGGTCTTGTTACAAAGGATTCTTCTACCTTGGTTCAATTTGAAGCAATTATTAGTACAATTAACTATTAGGAAACATTCAGAAGCATTAGCTGTTGCCTGAACCCGTACGGAAAACATGTCTCTATTCTTCTCTTTTACAATAGTCCCCCACTTATATATATTCTGATATGTACTTTTCTTCTCTACATTCTTCAGCATAGTATAATTTTGTAAAATTTTTAAAGGGGTTGGTACTGCGATTAAGCATGAGGTAAAAACCAGGTGAGCATTGATCCCTCCCGCTAAGCAGAAGTCCGTTCTATTTAAAATTTCCCGGGCCAGATAAATCCAGACATTTTCCTGAGGGTCAAATTTTTGTTGTAAAAGGGTTTCCCCTCCTATAAGTAGGAGTGGACAGATCAGGGTGCCCCACAATAAAACCTTGAACAATTTCATAATAAGGCTTATAAAACTTAATCAAAGATTGTCAAATTATTCAAAGTTCCTTTCTTTTGAATAGGAATTTCAAGTCTCTTATTGGCTCCACCTTCCACTGTTCTCTGTCTCCGGTCCCGGAGTCTGCAGGGATTCCTTCTTGTTCTGGTCCAGCCACCGGCTTTAGGCGACTGGAATGTATCCAAGTCTTGATTCCTTCGAGCTTTGCGGCCGTCGGGGTCGTTAGAAGTACCCTATATGGGCCTTTCTATCTGGCTCGAAGTGGTTCCTCGTTCCAATCTTTCACAAGGACGTAACTCCCAGGTAATAATCGATTTCCCAGGGCAGGATACTGGTCCTGTGTTTGCAGCACGTCCCGTACCTGCTGATGGATGGAAGACAAAACAGAAACCAAGGACCATACATATTCTCTAATCATGCCCTCTCCTAAAACATGTAACTGTTGTTCAGTACCCATGGGCAGACTCAGAGGGTAAGGCTTACCATACATTATTTCAAACGGGCTTAATCCCAATTTAGAATGTGGTGCGACCCTTACTCGTAACAGGGCCAAGGGTAGGGCCTCTGGCCATTTGAGTCGAGCTTCTTGGCAAATCTTTGCAAGGTGTCTTTTTAAGGTCTGATTCATACGTTCCACCTTTCCACTGGACTGGGGTCTCCAAGGGGTGTGTAAATGCCAGCTGATTCCCAGGAACTCAGAAACCTTCTGAGTAATTTGTGCAATGAAATGTGGACCATTGTTTGACCCTATTCCTTTTGGAAGTCTGAAGCACGGTAAGATTTCTCGTAGGAGCGCCTTAATCACCTCTCGGGCTTG